TTATGTCAAGCAACCACTTTTGACAGAAAAGATTTAACTCCTACAGTTCTCCCCTCTTATTTACATTCTTGTCTTCAATTCTAGTCAGCATCGACTTTCCTGCTCAGCAGTATCCACTAAGAGAATAATTATTTGTGTTTCGTGAAGGCAGGTTTTTTTCTAGTCCTGGGGCTTGAACTCAGGGCCTGGGCACTGTCCCTGCATTTCTTTTACTCAAGGCTAGCACTCTCCCACTTCTTGCTTTTTTTTTTTTTTTGACTATGTAGGACTAAGGAATGGAACCTAGGGCTTCATGCATGCCAGGTAAGCACTCTACCACTAAGCCACATTCCCAGTCCAGTGAGGGAGTTTTAATCAGTCTCTGAACAAAATTTCTTTGCAAGAAATATAACCAACCAACCAACCACCATCATTACTCCAAAAACAATTACTAAGGAGGTAAACATAGACACCATGATTCCTCTCCATTTTCCAAGCCATTATTCCATCATGCTAGGTAAGTGTGTCACCTAAGCTAACTCCTTTGCCAGGATGGTCCTTGTAAAGCATTTATAATGCTTTGGGACTGCACCAATGGCAGTATTAGGGGATGAGAGTACATTAGTCTGTAATCAGTACACAGAGTTCTCCCTTCTCAGGTAGCATAGCTAGAGTTTGTCTATTCTCCCATGCCCAAAGCCTCACAACCTGAGAGAAAGTTAAGTAGAGGAGAGACCCAACACATAGTTCTACAGGCAACACTAAGTTTTCCAGGACTTGAATAGTAATAAATTCCTTATAGAACATATCTTCTTTGCTGTTGGTCAAACCTTGCTTCTAATAGTTGGCCGAGTTGCTCAATTATTAAGTAGTCTGCCTGACTCAGCCATGGTCAAGTGACTCCCAGCTACCTATTTCTGTCTACAAAATATTTATCACCTGTCTTAAAGAGGGTTTCTTGTAGGTTCAGTCTGACCTTGGTCTGCTCATGTTTGATTCAGCTGGGTTTTGACAGTCAGCCCAAGGTACTAGATCATCTCCATTTCTATTTTCTCCCCCATCCCTTTGTAGTCAGGAATTACCTTGACCAGCCTGTTCCTTAACTCCCTATACCTTCCCATATCTTTCCTCTTTGTTGATTTTTCCTTTTAAAATTTGTATTTTGAAATCACTTATAAAACCTTTGAATTTAGATAACATTGTTTTTTTTAAAATCCTCTATGGAGGAAAAAAAGCAATCTTAACACTTTTTCTACACAATAGCAATTATAGATGTTTATTAAGAATCACACAATGAAATAACCAAATTTCTAAACCTCGTTGCCCTTTAAAATCACCCCTTTCCCCGTTCTGAGCCAGAGTTAATTCCTGAATTCCATAACCATCATCAGAAGCAGGTCCTACAGTCTGGAAGCCAAATAAACAAGCGTGCCGGGAAGGCAGTATGCTCAGGTTTTCTCCCTGGTTAGAACTGAGATTTACAATCTTGCGTGATTGGCCAGTTTGAAAAGGTATAAAAGTTTACTCAAGCAATCTGAGACACCTGGCCAGAGAAACAATTCTTAGCTGGTGCTCTACCACTTGAGCCATGCCTTCAGCCCTTAGAAAAATAATTCTTATAACAGGATGCAGCATAACTAAAACAACTTCCTATAGAAAAAAAAAGTGGCTCTCCTTAAAATGGCAGTGATTTTGTTAAGTAACACTTTGACAGAAAAGATTCTAACTTCTTCAATATCTATCTGTTTATCTGTCTGTCTATCTATCTATCTATCTATATTCCAGAATTCAAAATCTGAAGCACCTCTACTCCAAAGCACTTTAGATAAGGGTTGATCAACCCATACTTTGTTATAGCTGCTTTAAGGAACTGATAATACCCTCTAATAATGGTTCTTTATAACATTTATCAGCTCCTGAAATTATACCATTATCTGTTCATTATTTGTCCTTGTCATCACCAGGAAGACAGAGCCTTATTACCTTGCCCAGGGACATTTTTTTTAGTATTTCTTAGGACTTGTCTCACCTCCCTTGACTGCTTGCTCTTTCCTCTTGAACGTTATTTGACTATTAAAATAATACTCAAACTTGAATCATATAAAATTATATAATCATTTTTGCCTGTCAAATTTATTGGCCAAACCTTAAGGATTTTAAAGCATTCACTATTTGCCTTTGTAAGCAAGAAGGAAATTACAATTTTTTTTTTACTAAAATGGTTTCTGAACTAATTCTTCCTTGTTTTTCCCCCTTCCTCCAAGGAATAAATCCAGACACAAAGTGTATTTCTCTGTTTACCTTGGCTTCTCTGTTTACCTCTGGCTACATGGGCCTCATACCACACTAAATCTGTTTGATCATCTCAGAAAGACAACTCTTTCAAAAGAGATATAAAGTAAACCAGTGTTAGTGCTATGGTTATTAGTATGAATCAAGGGGGCTGGCATAACTCAACAAAATAGCAGTAACAAATCAATACTTATCCAAAAAATTAGTACCTGAATGGTGTGGGTGGGGAAGGTAGAGAGGAGAAAGATATATGAATGAAGACAAGAAGTGGGGGACGGGGTGAGGGGAGAATATAATCACAATATTCATTGCGTATCCTATGAAACCAGAGAAACAAAGGAGCAATGGTTGGGAGGGAGAGGGGAGAAGAAGAGTTTCCTAATCTCCTCCTAAATGTTGTTTATATGAATTGTATTTTATTTAAACAGATGCTGGGTAGGCAGATGTTTTTTTTTTTTAACAATTCATATAGTCTTGATTGCGATATATTGTACTTAAAAGCTGATGTGTTGAATGGTAACCCCTTTACACAACTACTTAAATACATTTAATACTACTTAAATACTTTAAAAAAATGCGTGGAAGTGGCGCTGTGGCTCAAGTGGTAGAGCAGTTTGCGGCCGCAGGTGACATGTACCCTTCCAGCCCCTATCTTCATGCAAGGAAATGCCATTTCTAAAAAGTAATCATTTTAGAGTGGGCCAGTCAAACTTCACTGGGTTATGACAGATAGCTGTCCTCATTCTACCTGCAGAGAAGTCTTATCCATGTAGAAGGCTCTCTGCCAGATGACACCAAAACTGAAAGTCAGAGGATAAGGTGACTCAGCATGGCCTTGTGTGTGTCTACAGGTTTTGTTCTGGAGGTCACTCAGCTGGTGGCATACATGCATAGGCTTCTCCCAACCTGCCAATCAGAGATCACCACAGAAAAAGGCTTTCTGTGTAATCAACTCTCATTGGTTTTTCCTGGCCCCACACAAAATGAAAAACATAACACACACAAACAAATGGTGTATAGGGTTGGGAAAACGGCCCAATAATTCAATGAAACAGATTCAGTTTTCCAAGTATATGTATAACATTTTATTCATAGCTTCGACATTATATGTGTACGTACTTAAAAAAAACACACAGTGCTATTATCACACTTAAAATGTATCCATTGCTTCCGACAGAACAGTCAATCTATATTCAGCTTTTTGGAATCCTCTCCTAAAGGTTGTTTATATGCATTGTATGTTATTTAAACAGATGCTAATTTATGTAGGCAGATGGTTTTAATAATTCCCATAGTCTTGAGCACACGTTGGCTGAAACCACTTCTTAAACCTCTCAGACTGGCATGGTGGGCATAAACAAGTGAATGGACCATTTGGAATTATTTTGTCTGGCCATCCCTGTGCTACTCAAAAAAATGATACCAAATACCTCATTTCCGTCATATTGGCACACGCAAGGACCTGTCAGAAAGACTTTTAACATTGCCTTTTACAAACGGAACTCAGGCCAGCTTTCTTATTGGGCAGAGTAAATACTGCTCCCACAGCAGCAGTGTGGCCTTACTTCCTGACACAGGACTCGGGGTTCGGAGGCTCCTCCTCCTCCACCTCCAGTCTCACAAGCCACTTTGGGTTTCGCAAAATAGAGTGGGGTATTTTTGGTAAAGGATTGTTGTTTCTTCTGATCGAAAGGAAACAGTCAGGATTGAGGAGTGGATAAAATGTGAGCCAGGTTGAGGTGGCTCACGCCAGAGGTTGCATAACAGCAAAAGCTTCTTTTCAGCCAAACCAAAGCACATTTGTGGCTGTAGCAGAAGAATTTCAAAAGTGGTCTCAGGATGTAACTTGATGTAACACCGGTTAAATAATTCATGGAGTGAACAAAACAATGAGATAATTGTGGTATACCAATATCTTATACACACATACACACACAGCCTATATATAACAATGAGAATGGTACTATATATATATATATATATTAGCCTATATGTAAAACAACACACACACACACACACACACACACACACACACAGAACTTGACCTTGTGGTTACAAATCTCTTCCACGGCAGTGCAAACATATTATTATATCGTTTAAAAGGCTTATTGGTGTGAGGTCCTTATACGCTGGGCAAAAAATAGAATATATTGTCCTCACCTTTTCCCGCTTCCTTTAAAATAGGAAAATGTAAGAAATGTAACAGCGGTGGAATTTTGATTTCTTTTGAGACTTAACACCTAGAAAAAAATGTTGGTTGATGACCTAGGCAGCTCTAGGTGGTATATAAAAACGCAGGAGGACTCTGGGGACTGCATCAGAATTCTCTTGCTTAGGTGGCTTCTCCCCCCTGCCTACCCCCTCCCCACAGCCCCAGATGAAGAAGTCGGGGGGGGGGTAGGGGCGACGCGTGGCACAGGGGTGCAAGCGATCCCCGATCTCCGGAGTCCTGGCCACCTCCCAGGCCGACACGTTGACACAGGGACTGGCCCGGGTCCCAGCGCTGGCTGGGGACGCTGGGCATTTTGGGGGGGAGGGCTGGAGCAGCCCGGATGGGCTCCCGAGAGGGTCGAAGGGGATGCCACCTTCCCAGCGGACTCGCAGGGGGCGTGGAGAACCGAAGAGAGGAGATCCCCACTCGGAGATCAGCACCAAAGGCTAATAAGAAGGCATGGCAGGCTGTTGGACGGCTAAAGTTGTCCCAAGCCAGCCAGTTCCCCAGCACTCACCATCCTCCAGCGCTTCGTGCACCAGCAGCAGCCCGAGCAGGAGCCAGATATTCATCTCGGCACAGAGAGGGTTGCGGGTCCAAGGCTGTGCGGGTGGGCGGGCAGCGCTTCGGGCAGCGCGGGGCAGGGGCGCACGGCGAGGCGGGGCGCGCGGCGAGGCGGGGCGCACGGCGAGGCGGGGCGGGCTGCTGGAACGCCACCGCTGGAGGATTCAGTTTCTCCAGGAGGGACACAATTTGGGGGGGAAAAAGTTAGAATTTTGAAATTTCCCAGCGTAAGGTGCTCTCTCCTGCCCCCTGGTGGAGAGGCGGGGCGCAGCGCTGCTTTTCCGGCGCTAAGCAGACAAGGTCTCCAGAGCGAAATGCCAAGGCCAAGAGTCACTCACTCAGTGGTATTTTCCAGCATGGCAAGACCGGATGCACAGCGTTTGTTCCATATGTTGTGGGAGTAGGCAGGGGTGGGTGGCTGTCATAAAAGCAGCCTCAAGAAGCAAATAGCTACAAGTGTAATGAACTCTTAGAGTAACTGTGGACGGATGCACACCTCAGGGTCTCCGTGAGCTTCAGATACAGGAGAATTCAAAATCACTCAGTGGCTAAGGTCCACAGAGCTTTGCTGATTGTAACAGGCTCATGTCTTCCTGGCTACTCAGAAGACCTTGAGATGCGAGAATTCAAATTGGAAGCTAGCCTAGGCAGAAAAGTCTTTGAGACTTTTAATCTTCAATTAGCCAGCAAAAAGCCAGATGTGGAACTGTGGTCCAAGTGGTAGAGCACCATCCCTGAGTGTAAAAGAAATAGGACAGTACCCAGGCTCTGAGTTCAAGCCCCAGCACTGGCACAAAGAAAAATAAAAGAGTAAATGTGAGTACTCTTTTTGAAAAGCACCTACTATGTTATTTATAGTGTCCAATGGTGTTTTAAACATGATTTTGGCTAGATGGTGAAACTCTTGGTCATTTTGTAAATAACTATCAGGCATAGGTGAACATGTGAGGGAACTATCTTGCAGCTTGGAGACTCAACTCTTGAAGATATATAGAAACAGCAAAGCCATGGTATTATGAATAAACATGGTCTACAATTCGGCTGGCTTTCCACCATCATTGGCTACAATGTAGCTCTGGGGACACTGGCATAGTTCAGTCTCTGTCTTCTATTTCTCTTCTTTTTGACTGCTTTAATCTTAGTAGAGCAACACAAATTCTTTACTTAAGGACTATGAAATCTGAAATTGCTGGCACTTAGCATTTAAGAGACAGCTACTAATGTGTTAGAGATGTTTACATAAACACATCAGCATAGAGCTGAATTTCTTTTTACCTTCTATACTTAGACCTACTTCAAGACAACTTGAGGTAATGTCATGGAGAATCTTTGGAGTTATGGAATCTTTCTTTTCTTTCTTTTTTTTTTTTTGCTTATGTGGTGCTGAGGAATCGAACCCAGGGCCTCAGGCATGCAAGGCAAGTGCTCTACCACTGAGCCACCTTCCCAGCCCCGTTATGGAATCTTTCTAAACAGAGGCTTACAATTCTTTAGCGAATTATGTATCTCAAGCCTTTAGCTCAAGGAGGGTTTTACCAAACATCAAGGAGCATGCTCATGATGGTGCACACTTTTAGTCTCAGCTACTAAGAAGGCTAAAACAGGATGATCTCTTGAGCCCAAGAGTTTGAGGCCAATAAAGGCAATGTAGAGAGAATCCATTTCAAAAACCAAGACTGATACCAAACCCGAACAAAATTCACTAAGGACATTGTGATTCTTCTACCTCAAGAGGTTCTGGGCTGCACATCCACAGGTCTGATGGGAGATCTCACCCTTTAGATGGTCCTGTGGTACTGGAATGGAAGGAGGGCATCTAAATCTAGGTAATCCTAATCAACCCAATGAGCAGATTCTTTGCTATTTAAGCTTGTTTTTTAGTGCTGGCTAAGCTGGTATTGATGTTTTAAATATGCATTGCATTCCTTCCACTTTGCTAGAATCAATAAGAACTAGCTATACAAAGAAATTTCATAAGTGATTTTTTAAGGAGATTTGTAACATTAGGATCATGTTAAAAAGTTCTTTTAACTTGTCCCTTCTCCTCGGATGGTTAAAAAACAAGTTGAAGTTGGAAGATCTTTACTTGCCACACAGAAAAATGAGTATTTTTCACCGTATTCTATAAGAATATTACACAACTAACTTGTAACTATTATAGGCTGTTTGGATATAAAATGAAGACAAAAGATCATGACAAAAAGATCATGACAAAAGAGGCTTGATCCCTAGCTAATTTTGCTATTTTTGAGAGGTGAGTGGATTTTGAGGGCTAATTACCACGATCAATGGATAGTCTGGAGGAAGTTATTATTGAGGGTGTGGTTTTGAAGGGTATATCTTTTTTGTTTTTTGTCCGTAACCAACGTTTGAATTCAGGGCTTTGTGATTGTTTAGCTTTGTTTGCTTGGCTAGTACTCTACCACTTGGACCATGTCTCCAGCCTAGTCCTTTTCTGCTTATTCTGGAGATGGTGTCCATTACTTTCCTGCTTGTGGTTGGCTTGGAACTGTGTCTACTGATTCTTAGCCTGGGTAACTAGAATTACAGACATGAGCTACTAGTGTCCTGCAGAAGGGTATACCTCTTCCCCCTCCTTGTTTTCTCCTCATTCTCTCCTTCCTAGCTACAAGCAGAGAAGTTTTCTTCATCCATACTTTTCTACTTGATGTATTAACTGCCTTACCACAGGCTCAAAGGACTAGGGGCCAACTTCCCTCAATTAAGCTTTATTTTCTTAGGTATTTTGTTTCAGTGACAGAAAAGCTAACTACTAAACAGGATATGATTTGGTGGGATGAACACTGATGAGCTCCTTGCAGATCAGAGCAATGTCAATAAGGTGACTGGACTACTCAAGTGGGTGCAAGTGCTGGAGCTCAGTGGTACCATCTTGGGCAGCATGCCTCAGAAACAAGATTTTATGTGAAACAAGACAGGTCTGTGATGGCGTCTCTCGTATCTCACAGGATACCGCAATCATACAGTAAGTCCTAGGCTGCCAGATATGTACAATAAAAGTTATTTTCATGGAGATTATATTGGATTCATGAGCTAAAACCCAAAATTTAAAAAAGGGTGTTTAAGTATGGCATGTGTGCTTTTGGTTTGCGTTGTACACATTCACACTAAATTGTAAGTCATATTAAAGTTTATTTAAAAATACAGAGTTACATTAGAAAGGATATTTTACAACAGTTAAAGCAGAAATAGCTTTTATTACAAATTCTAAAAAAGAATCCAACTTTATAAGTACAAGGGAACCTTGATTATCATTCAAACATTATCTACTAAAAACTCTTCATATTTGTACAAATCCAATGTATGTGCTGGCTGTGACAGACATAGAATTTCTATAGGGTTTAGGCCTTATCAACCCTTTTTGGTAAGTAAATGGTAACTAGTAATCAAACAATGGGGGCATTGCTAGCAGACACCTGAGTGTGGAATAAAGAAACCCACCCCGCTGGCAACACACAGCGCATTACCAGCTGTGTCACGGCCACACACTTTGTGGCTTGAGGCTGCCCATGGCCATGCAGGGAATGCAGCAGCAGGCCCTCCTGCGCCACTTCCAAGAAGCAGCCACCTTCCCATAGCTGATGTTCCTTGGGCCTTCCTCAACTTGACATACTCAAGGGATATTTGGAATAGAGGATAAGGAAGTCCAGATGACCTTACTTTCATTTGAAGATTTTACTTCAAACCTTTCCTAGCATTCTAATGATATACCAATGGGTCAATATAGGTGCTCAATATTACAAGCTGCTGGACTCTGGAATCAGACTGGGGTGATGGTCATGATATCCACTGTCAGAGGTCACAGCAGTTCTTTATAGCCCAGAGATTGTGGCAGTGGCTCAGCCATGATGAATAATAGCAGTCAGTAAGTAAGTATTGTCTTTTTTTTTCTTTTTAATGTGCTAGTACTGGGGTTTGAATTCAGGGTCTTATACCCTCATTCAGCTGTTTTGCTCAAGGCTGGTACTCTACCACTTATGCCACAGCTCCACTTCTGACTTTCTGCTGGCTAACTGGTGACAAGAATCTCACAGACTTTTCTGCCCAGGCTTGCTTTGAACTATGATTCTCAGATCAGTTTCTGGAGTAGCTGAATTAGAGGCATACAAAGTAGATTTAGCCATAATAAAATTCATTTGAAACCAATAAGATTAAGCTGTGTAAATACAAACAATGACAAATACTAGAAAAACCAATGTCCAAACCAACCATACAACAATAACAGATGAAGTCTCATAAAATCCAGAAATCAGGAAGCTATTTTTAAGTGTTTAAATATAATTATATACAAAAAACTAGTCTAAATACAAAATCAAACAATCATATTTTCACATCTATATGACAAAAAAATTACCCTTGCTGGCACTATTTAATATAAACTTCACTATTTTCCCCTTGATACATAAGAAAATGTAAGAGAATTTCATAATATAGGCAATATACAGAAAAAGGCACTGTTTGGCATTAGCAAAAAGGATAGCTCATTTTCCTCATCCCATCCCAAATCCCCACACTAGTTATGTACATTTTAATAGTAAATGATGTATACTTTATCTTTTAAAGTCCTAAGGGATTTATTTATTTATTTACTTATGCTGGTTCTGGGTCTTTATTTAATTCAGGGCCTGAGCTTCTTTTGATCAAGGCTACTGCTGTACCACTTGAGCCACAGCTCCACTTCTGGCTTTTTAGTAGTTTACTGGAGATTAAAGGGTCTCACAGACTTTCCTGCCCAAGCTAAGCTGGCTTTGAACCACGATCCTCAGATATCAGCTTCCTGAGTAGTTAGGATTATAGGTATGAGCCACTATTGTCCTGTGGAAGTTTTTAAGGCTGTTATTTGAATCATATCAGGAGTCATCAACGAGCAACTTTGAAAGTGATGGAGAGCTGGAATCTTGGTGCTACTCATCATGTATTTTGTAATCTTGGAACATGCCCCGATTAAAAAAAAATGACAACAAATCATTTATTTATAAACAGCTTTAAGAGGAGAGAAGAGGGATGGGAATGTGGCTTAATGGTAGAGTGCTTGCCTAACATGCATGAGGTCCTGGGTTCAATCCTCAGTACTACCTAAAAGAAAAAGCCAAAAGTGGTGCTATGGCTCAAGTGGTAGAGTGCTAGCCTTGAGCAAAAGAAGCTCAGTGACAGTGCCAGGCCCTGAGTTGGCAAAAAACAAAAAACAAAAAAAAGAAGAGAAGATGAGGTTCACCCTTTTTCTGTCGTCATTAATTACTTCTCTTTCTTTTCCAGCTAAGTATTCAAATCATTTTAGAAAACAGTTTGGTGAAAATGGACTCCAGTTCACAGTTTTAATTGAAAATTTCTTTTAAATCAACTCCTGCAAACAAACAGGACTTGAAAGATAGTTTCACTAATACTTTTTCAAGAAGTTAAAAACATGTCATTAAAATTGAAAAAAGATAAATTCTTACCCCTTAAAAGCAAGGTAATTTGGGGACAGGCATCTTCTATCAACTGGGGGTGGTAATAGTGAAGTTTAGTTACCAGTGTTAGTTTCAATATTAGTTTTATATATCAACTGATACACATATAAAAATTACATTTTAATCTTAGTTTTGCTGACAATGTTTATATCTAGGGAAAAGTAATAATCCATGGTTTAGTAAATATTAAAGGTTCTACTAAATTTTTCTAAAGTTTTTAGAAGAGTTTTTAGCTTGAGTTTGCAAAGCCATCTCCATAAATGTAAGGTTGGTACTGCTGTACTGGGGCTTAGACACAGGCCCTGGGTGCTGTCCTTTAGTCTTTTTCTCCTAGCTCTTTGGTGCACGACCACTTGAACCACAGTCCTACTTTCAGCTTTTTGGTGATTAACTAGTTGGGAGACAAGAGTCTTTTCTGCTTAGACCGGCTTTGAACCATGTACTCAGGTCTCAGACTTTTGAGTAGCTAGAATTACAGGCATGAGCTACTGGTACTAGCTTTTCTTTCTTTTTTAAAAATCAGAATATATTAATTGTACAAAAGGGTTTCCTTGTGAATTTTTGTCCATAATTTTAAGGGGTTTCATTAATCTATTTGGAGAGGACCTTATTTATGTTTGACAGATTATTAATCAAATCTATACAAACATTTGGTGAACCTAAAATAAGTAAAAACAATGTTTTGTTCAAAGAGTTACAAATTAAAATATAGGAACAAAAAGGGGGAAGAGCTGACATGGCACTGGCTGCTGCTAATAAGCACACCTCAGGGCAGGCATGCTGAAAAGGTATAACAGAAACATCCCACCCTTACTCAGATTATGAAGCACCTGTTTCAATACATTAGAGTTCAGTGATTTAACATTAGAAACATGATAAATACTTAAAGAATCTATAGAACATATAAAATTGTTGTATATTTTAAAATAGCTTAAAAACTAAAATATCTACCCATATAAAATATTATTTTTTTCCCCACAACAGTGGGTTTTAATCCACATAACAATATCACAACCAAAGCCCATCATAAACACAACTTACTTATACATTGACATCTGAAGGATGCACTTTGGCACCCAAAAAATACACACTCACCCATACATACGTAAATGTACTTACATACATACAAACACATATCTGTTTGAGTCTACACAGAAAACAAAAGGCCAGCATGATCCCTGACAAAGCCTTTCTCCACAGATACTTGTGTTTGTGAAGTGCTGGTAAAAAAAAAAAAATTGAACTATACTCTGCTCCTAATTGGACACACTAGGCACAACAGTTGTAGCTGCCTATCACATTCTAAGTAAGTGTCTTGATTCTGTTACAGTAAAAAGTTTAACTACTGTTCACATTTCTTGTGTGAACTGTCTATTCTAGCTTGATTACAGACAAAAGGAGTTCTCAGTGTACTGCTGTAACTAAGGATTTATCATCATGCTCACAGTCCTCATACAAATATATTACTTCTGGCTTATTCAACACCTCTTTCTCAACAAAATAGCAGTTAGAGAATTCTGGGCTTCAGATTTTATCATGTGCACCCTAGAAATCATGGAATGTCAGAAATGAGCTCTGTGTTAGGGATGCTACTCCACCAGCAGCCAGAGACTCTGGCTTTCTACCTATTCATCTCACACTTAGTCACAACAAACACATGGTCACAAAAAACCATTGCAAACTTGCTTTTAATGGCACCAAGAAGATAAATGACCTTTTAGAAGAACTGCCAGAGGATCATACAGGTCAACCAGTATGTTTGGTGACATTTACCATGGAATTCTGGGAGTGTCACCCACATGCCTCCAGTGTCATCTAATAAATCATTTAGTTATTTGTATAAAAATTAACTCATGAGGAGCAAAATAGACTGCACATAAATAATCCACCATCAGAAAATGCTATAAAGTAAAACACAGCAGAGAATCCTACACATAAAAATGTATTTAGTCACATATGTTACTGTTTATAGCTTTAATTCAATTTAATTATATTAGCTTGCAGTAATCATGTTCTTAAGCAAAATATTTTTCTTTCTTTTTTTTTGGTCAGTTGTGGGGCCTGAACTCTGGGCCTGGGCGCTGTCCCTCAGCTCTTCAGCTCAAGGCTAGCACTCTATCACAGCACCACTTCCAGGTTTTTCCTGCTTATGTGGTGCTGAGGAATCGAACCCAGGGCCTCATGCATGCAAGGCAAGCGCTCTACCACTGAGCCACCTTCTCAACCCCCAAGCAAAATATTTTTCTACTTATTGATGCAAATGCAGAGTATCAGAGCTTATTTTTAATAGATAGTGTGGACATTTAAAAGCTAATAAAAAAAGTGCTAAATGTCACATGGGTGGGATAACCCTAAACATTTCTACATTGGGCCATATTATTAATTAATTAATATTAATTTGGCACTTTAATATTTGAATGAGGAATTTTACATTCCTCCATCTTTTCCTCTTTTTTTTTTTTTTTTGGTTGGCCATGGGGAATCTGGGCCTGGGTGCTGTCCCTCAGCTCTTCAGCTCAAGGTGAGCACTCTACCACTTGAGCCACCACACCACTTCCAGTTTTCTGGTGGTTAATCAGAGATAAGAGTCTTACAGACTTTCCTGCCTGGGCTGGCTTTGAACCGTGAGCCTCAGATTTCAGCCTTCTGAGTAGCTAGGATTACAGGAGTGAGTCACTGGTGCCCAGCTCGTTTCCTCTTTTGTGTGCTATAAAAGTAGAAATTTCTATTTCATCCCTTCACATCCAGAATAAGGCAAAATACAGAAACAAAGGAGTGAATTCTGTGTGTTGAGGTTAAGAAAGCTAACTTGTGGTTAATGTTAAGTAATGGAAAAAGTATGATTCATTCTACCAGTTGTGCGAGTTGTGAGATTATAGTGGCCTATTATAACTGACTTTTTTTTTTTTTGCCAGTCCTATGCTTGAACTCAGGGCCTGGGTGCTACCCCTGAGTTTCTTTTTGCTCAAGGCTAGGGCTCTACTATGTGAGCCAAAGCTCCACTTCTGGCTGTTTTGGTAATTTAGTAGAGATAAAGAGTCCCATGGACTTTCCTGCCCAGACTGGCTTTGAACCATGATTTTCAGCTCTCAGCCTTCTGAGTAGCTAGGACTACAGGCATGAGCCACCAGCACCAGGCTTGACTCTTTTTAAAAAATGAACATGAAATCTAGTGTCTACCTGTCTGAGCGTATGTCTAAATTTTCAAGCACATCCTTGTCGCGACTATCTACACTTGCTTTTGGATCATAGGAACCACCTTCGTGCTCCAGATAGCTTTAGGGACCCCAGGAAATCAGGAAATCCTAGTACTCCCCTTGAGCTACTGGTTGGATGGTGGAGCTGTAGAACTCACAGCAGGTAGAGGAGTCACATTGCAGGGCTGTTAGTCCATAGACAAGTTACCAGGGATCCTACAGGGTAGAGTACAGGATGCTTTCTACTCTGTGTAGTACAGGAGAAATAAATGCTTCTACTGGCTAAGTTTTCATAAACTGTCATGCCAAATAGGGGAAAATGTATATTAAAGCCACTGCTGGCACCTATAACTTAAAAAGAAAAGGCTCATTTCTTCTCCCTTCCTCTTCCTCCTGACCAGTAACAGATGCCATAATGGCTAACTGCATTTCCAGCTTGCCTACTAGAGAAAAGCGACCACTGCCCAATTGCACAGGACATATGCAGAACACTTTCCCATTCAGTGATTTCCCTCTATTTTAGTATATGCAGCACATGCCACCCATTATGACAACACTGGAATAAAGATACACAATAATAGTACAACAACTAACTTTGTAACATTCAAGTTCCCAAGCATATACATACACACGCACACTCATACTAATTTGGGGGTATTCATCACTGAGGGAGATCAGGAGGCTCCCTTGGCCATATAATTCACCATCTGAGGAGATGCAGTCCAAACAAGAAAGTATAAATTAGGGTGAACTATGTGTGCGGCAAACCCATGACAACGCAACCTGATGACAACCTTCTGTAAGCGTTCACTCAGGGTAGGCAATGCAAGACTAGATCAGATCTGTTCTTGCAAGCATTAGCATTCACTTGTCTTTTCATGGAATATGAAAGGTAAACTAAGATTTCTTTGGTGGTGGTCACTTGCTTGAATGGCAGACTTTTCTTCTGTTGCTGCATTAATGTTGTCTAAATAAGCATCTTCATCATCATCTTCATCCCTTGGGTTACCTTCCAGGCTGTGTCTAATGCCATAAGCAAAGTAAATCAGGAAACCTTTGTAGGGAGGGAAAAACAAATTCATGTTTTGGGCATGTCAGAAAATAACTATTTGAAACAAATTTTTTGTTTTCTTTTGGTGGCTAGAGATACGAATCTCATATACTTCCCTGCCTGGGCTGGCTTTGAACTGTGATCCTTAAATCTCAAGTCTCTTGAGTACCTGGGATTATAGGCATGAGCCACCAGTGCCCAGAAATCTTAATATAGACATTAATAAGAAAAAAATCATACATTACCAAAGTCAAACCAAGTAACATGCATTCCTTTACAAGTGGTGCATTATCAGAGTCACAGTAAGGTATTTTGAAAAGCATATTCTATGGTAATGGAGGGATCCGGGACATGACTTCCACATGTTACTCTAACTAGGAAAGGACAAAAAGCTGGGTGCAAAATAACTGCTAACTGGGGAGCCAGGGGACAAAGAAGATAATTCCTTGGTCATAGTCATTTTGCCATGTTCAGGTAGCTTAGCTTTAGTTCATGTAGAACTAGGTGAGAATTCATTCCTTTCACCCACAAGTGAGAAAACAGAAATTGTTAATGGGAGATTTGAATTAAAATGGTATTTTAAGGGCTGGGAGATGGAGCTTAGTGCCTAGCAAGTGTAAGACCCTGGGTTGGACACTTAACATTCAAAAATGAAAAAATAAATGGCATCTAAAAACATCTAGAAAAGTGTTACAAATACCACAAACTGGGTTAGAAAGAATCTGAAAAAAAGCCTTTATTTCCAGAAATAGGGAAGAGAGGACTAGAGTTGAGAAAGCTAAATGCATTAAAAGACCTACCAAGTGCCATCCAAATGCTGAACCTGACCCAAGTATCTGCACTTAGCTGGACCATCAGGTAAATGTTCACCAGGATGCTCAATGCTGGCAAAAATGGTAAAAATGGAACCTAAGGAGGGAAAACATCTTTTTGAACATACTCATGCTTTAAGTGCATATTTCCCCAAGATGGCAGCAATTAATTTCGCATACATACTACCACCATACTGCGTCAATAATCTTGTATCTCACAAAAAGGACAACTTGAATCGGACCATTCTTTTTCTAGAAACTGCTACAAGAATATAATTCAGATTATTTGTTGATGCTCCTGAATGAACAGATTTACTGAACCTGTTAATACCAAGATACAATTGGGCTTGTGGTTCAGTTTAGTTCAGGATTTGCTGGTCTAGTTCAGACAATAATGCGATACTTCTGGAAATCTAGATATAAATATATCCCAGGTGATACTGTCACAAAGCACTGGCCTGTTGCTCGTTTTAATGGGGCAGGACAACAGGACAGTTTAACTGCTAGTGGACGGGGAATTGGTAGAGAAATATTCAAATTCATTCTCTCTCCCAAGCTCCGTCCTTTCCCTGTTCCTTTCTTTTCTCTTTTTGTTGTGAGGTATTGGGGTTTGAATGTGGGGCACAACAGGTACTCTGGCTAGGATTGAGCCACAGCCTCAGTCCTTTTTCCCTTCATTTATTTTTCAGGCAAGGTCTCTCATTTTGCCTATAGCCAGCCTGAGACTGCAATTCTCCAGCCTTAGACTGCAGTTCTCCTACCCGTACTGACTGCGTAGCATCACACCTGGATTATTTGTTGAGACAAGGATTTCACTAATTTCTTGTCTGGACTGGCCTAGAATCATGAGATTGTCCTAATCTCTGCCTCTAAAATAGTTGGGATTACAGGTTTAAGTCACTATGCCTGGCCTGACATTAGACTTTAATTTTAGAAATTACTTAATTACTGTCTACCTATTACATATACAAATACTGTGCTAGGAGCACACTCCAGTATTTGAGAAGGTGAGTAAGACATCCAATGTGGAGAGAGAATATGGTGATCAAAAGGAACCTGTCCAAGTTTTGATAGTCTTATTCATTGGTTAACTTTGCTAGGCTCTCTGTCTCTCTTAAAGAAACAACTCAGAAAACTAACACACAGAGGAAGTATTTATACACATATAAATATATATAATATTTAGATCTCTAATTCTTATTCCATTTACCATAAAGGCTACTTTTTGCTGATTCTGTGGCTGCCTCCAAATGGTGAGGATGATGGTGATGCAGAGAATAAGCAGCAGTGTGAGAAGAACAAGGCTCCAGGCCTCTAGCCTGGCAATTGCCTGGACTCCGTAAGTGGTCAGAATACTCAGGCCCAACACGAGAAATGCTGCAAAAGTAGGAGGTATAGAAGTCAGAGTCAGCAAACTTCCCTCAGCCTCCTCAGTTCTAATGGTCTAGAATGAAACAAGTTCTAATTCATATCTACTTTGCTAAAACTGGATTCTTCATTTTCATTGTGAAGAGATTGTCTTTTCCACTGACTTAAGAAACACTGCTTGTGTTCTTAGAGATGTCAACTACTACATACCTACTCTCACTGCATTGTGTGTCTGGGTTCTCATTTGCCATTCTCAGACTATCAAATAGGCTGACAGACATTGTTCTGCCCTTTTGCTGCTTTTTCAAATGAGAAATGGCAAGTCTGATTATTAAAACACAAATTCCTAATGAGGACAAATATGTGATCTTCACCTTGTGTCTGTATCTTAGGCAATGATATCACACTTTGCTAGGCTCTCTGTCTCTCTTAAAGAAACAATTCAGAAAACTAACACACAGAGGAAGTATTTATACATATATACATATATATAATATTTTGAGGTCCCTTCTATTAGAGGTCCCTTCTTCTTGTTCTCAGAAACCTGCCCTTCCCCAGCTTCCCGATAATATTATACCAGAAAGCTCCTTGAGAGCAAAGGACAACTGTCTCGTTTTGTTTTGTTTTTGCTTATGTGGTGCTGAGGAATCGAACCCAGGGCCTCATGCATGCAAGACAAGCACTCTACCACTGAGCCACCTTCCCAGCCCAGGACAACTGTCTTGATATCCCATGTTCCAGCAGAATGGCTAGTACACAGATTGTGCTCCATAAATCTATGGTCTTGGATCTATGCTCTTTGGTGAGCAAAGATGGATTTCCTATGTACCTCCCAACCCCATCAGGTTCTAATTCCAATACCAGCAGGTGCACTCAACTAAATCCTTTCACAAAGAGAGCATCTTAACAACTAACAAAGCATGCCAGTTTGTACTTCTGCTACTCTTACTGTTGAGAATTTCTTCCTTTCTTCTTCAATGACCAAGATATGATAAATGTCTCAGTAGTATAAACATGATCTGAACTACTACTGAGTCTGTAGGTATAACTCTGGCTAGGACTCAGGTTTCCTGCTAGCATATTTTAAAGGCTTTTTTGTCTTCTTTTGTACGTATTATACTGGCTCCACCTACACACATCTGTTGGGTCTTTGCAATATCTGTAGTGATGAAGACGTACCCAGAAATCCCACCAGAAAGCTCACGAGAGAAGCTGACTGCCGCGTAGGCAGAGCAGAGGGGTTGAGGAGGGTTCTTAGGCTGAAGCCCTGTTCTTGCAGCATGGTGACCTGGGAGTCACTTTTTGAACCTGCACTGTCGCATGATCCCAGGCCTTCCTTTTCAGGAGAGTATTTAGGTTGCTCATAACATAAACCAGGCTGGTACCTAGGACAAATAAAAATTTGTGTCTTTATTCCCAAATAGGCACTTGGCCCAAATGAAACAGACATGCTACAAAGTCACATTATGAATAATCAAGTGTCAATTCTCGTAATTCTAATCCCACAGTATGCCACAACCCCTTTCAATAAACTCTCTGCAGCTGTTCAGAATCTCCACAGATAGCCACTTAATTAGAACGTTACACAAATCCCTTTCAATAAACTATCTGCAGCTGCTCTAAAATCACCACAGATAGCCACTTAATTATAAAGTTACACAATAGATGCAAAAACTACACCTATTATACTTTAAGGTGAGGCAACTGTGAAATAGGATGACTATGCCCCAAAAGAAAATGAAGATCCTAGAGGTGGTACAGGAACACTGGTTAACCATCAGCTACAGTGTAACATCATCTCTCTCTGGTTTGGGATCCAATAGCTTCACCACAGCCTGTCTCTCCTGCCTCCTTTCCCTCAGCATTCCAACTGGACGCCTCCAGTTTAATGCAGACAAGATCATCAAGTCACTCTGCTACCTCCCTACGACATACACATCACTCCTCTTCTTTAGCTTACAGTAACTCTTATAGCTTGTGTAATAATACATTAGCCTGCTTATCCCCTACTTTGTCCCAGTCTCCCCAATGCAGCTTCTTCTACTGAGTAGCTATCATTTATTTTACAAAGTAATATTTTCATTTTCCTTCCATATAAAGAAATATGTTCACTCAGAATAAATTCACAAAAGAGCAAAGAAGGAAATTAAAATCACCCACTACTCAGCATTCAGCACTATTAACATGGTGTATGTGTATTATTTCTTTATAAAAGTTTGTTATTTATAAGAGTTTATGGCATTTAAATAAATTCAAAATGCTACATACAGGTTTATATCCTGAAAAGGACATATTTATCTGTATGAATATCATTTTGTTTGTTGTAGAAGAATCTTCTCTAAGCAGTCTCCTAAATAAACTATTCTCCTAAATAGACAACTTTTTTTTTTTGGTCTGTTTTGGGGCCTGAACTCTGGGCCTGGGCTCTTCAGCTCAAGGCTAGCACTCTACTACTTGAGCCACAGTGCCACTTCTGGCTTTTTCTGCTTATGTGGTGCTGAGGAATCGAACCCAGGGCCTCATGCATGCAAGGCAAGCACTCTTCCACTAAGCCACCTTCTCTGTCCCAGACAATTATTTCTTTAATTCCACAAAGATTTTTATATTTATGTTTGCCTCTATCATTTCATCTTCAGGGTAAAGTCTTAGTACTAAAATATTGAGATATATAGTATTTTAATTCTCTGTGCATTATAAAAATTTCCATTCACAGATTGAGTAAATGATTAAATTATACTTAATTATTTTGCTAAAGACCCTACCTTCTTATACTTTCTATGGGTGTTTTGAATACATAGGGCCATTCACCTTGGTAATACTGCTAGCTCCCTGCCAGGAAGATGGTGAGCCCTCATTGTCTTTATTTCCTGTGCTGCACCTGACCCACCATTGGCAACTCACCTAAGAATGAGGACACAGGCTGCAACCAGAGAATAGGCCATGAGAGTGCCAATGGACATCATGTCTACAAGGGCCTTCAGGTCGAAAAGAAATGCCATCACAGCTATTGAGGGGAAAGATGAAAGGAAATGTGAAGCCAAGGACCTCTGATAACATCTTATAGAATAGAATTAATCCCTTTAAAGTCAGAGACAGCTGACTCACATTTTCTCTTGTGGTACAATGACAAATTGAAATCTACAAAGAATACCTCTCATAAGTTTTTAAGCTATTCTTTAAGTGCTACCAACTGCCAGCAAGATTTCAAAAACCTTTAGCTTCCTAGCAAGCACAAAATGTATCTATTTTGATTGCTTAAAACATATTTGGCCAAAGAGTAAAAATGTGATTCGACAGAATACTATTCTTTGACATTTTCAGAAGAAAATGTTAAAAACAGTGGCTGTTCATTTTTTTTTTTGGGGGGGGGGTCCGGTCGTGGGGCCTGAACTCTGGGCCTGGGCACTGTCCCTCAACTCTTCAGCTCAAGGCTAGCACTCTACCACTTGAGCCACAGTTCCATTCTGGCTTTTTTCTTTTTTGCTTATGTGGTGCTGAGGAATCGAACCCAGGGCCTCATGCATGCAAGGCAAGCTCTCTACCACTGAGCCACCTTCCTAGCCCCAGGCTGTTCATTTTATGAAATCATAAAAAGTTTCAGTTATTATTACAGAAGGCATGTAATCATTTTAATTTCTGTCTACATTGTTATATCATATACCATTCAAATCTTTTTTCATGCCTATCTTGGGGCTTGAGCTCAGGGCCTAGGTGCTGTCCCTAAGCTTTTGTGCTCAAGGCTAGTCTTCAACTATTTGAGCCAAAGGTCCACTTCCAGCTTTTTGATGGTCATTTGGAGATAAAAAGTCTCATGGACTTTCCTGCCAAGGCTAGCTTCAAACTGAGATCCTCAAATCTCAGCCTTCTAAGTAGCTAGGATTACAGATGTAAGCCACTAGTGCCTAGCTGCAACTCAAAAATTTTAGAGTAACTTTGACAATGTTATGTTTTACATAGAGACTAGACTAGATTCTATTGTGCTGAAAGCTACATATTCCAGATAGTCTAGTGTGATGTGAACAATCAGTTTTTGGTCCTGAACACCAAACCCTCAGCAGGAGGTAAAATACATTTTACTATTAAAATAAAAAAATATACTTTACTGTTAAGTAGAATTTAGTAAGTAGATCATGCTATATTCTATTTACATGATGTTCTTATCTCCTTGGCAAGTTTTATTTACCTATGGTTTTACTTTATCACCAAGGCAATGACTCCATAAGACAAGAGAAATTGTTTTGCTTTATCAATGTAAAGTGGCCTAAATAAATAAACAATTTGACTATCTGTGACCCAAAATTCATGTTCTGGCCATCTAGATTTATAGATAGGTTAACTTTTCAGGACTACAATCACATTACAGGGCATCTAAACCAACATCTCCCAATCTTTTTACAATAACACACCTTTTCCTTATACACGATATATCTCACTTTGAAAACCCTTCAGTATAGGGCTGGGAAGGTGGCTCAGTGGTAGAGTGCTTGACGTGTATGCATGAGACCCTGGGTTCAATTCCTCAGCACCACATAAGCAGAAAAAAAGCCAGAAGTGGCGCTGTGGCTCAAGTGGTAGAAGGCTAGTCTTGAGCTGAAGAGCTGAGGGACAGTGCCTAGACCCAGAGTTCAGGCCCCATGACTGACCAAAAGAAAATCCTTTAATATATTAAATTATTGAAACTTTGGATACTTTGTAAGCATTATGGACAGTATAAAAAGGTATCCAGGAAAAGAAAAAGGATCAATTATTCATATAAGCTATCTGACCTAAGTTTAAAAAAAGTGTGAGAGTAAAAATAAACATGAAAGGAACATTAAAGCTGGCACCGGTGGCTCATGCCTGTAATCCTAGCTACTCCGGAGCCTGAGATTTGAGGATCATGATTCAAAGTCAGCCCAGGCAGGAAAGTCAATGAGACTCTCATCTTCAATTAACCACCAGAAAACCAGAAGTCATGCTGTGGCTTAAGTGCTAGGGAGCTCCCCTTGAACTGAAGAGCTCAGGGACAGGACTCAGGCCCAGTGTTCGAGCCCCATGACTGACAAAAAAAAAAGAGAAAAAAAAGGAGGATTAAAAAGCATTCCATTTAATTATCTTTAAAAATTTCAATCTTATTATTCTGTGAAATGACACCCTTCTTTAATGAAGGAGAAGGTTAAATTACTTGTAACTTTCTAAAATTCTGAATGCAAAGTAAAATGATTGGGAACTTTTAACTGGAAAAAGGAAAAGTTTTTAGGGACTAAATAAAAAACATGATTCTTTTCCAAGAAACATTTATATTATGAACTATTTTTGATATCATAATACATTGTTAAATAATAATATGAGCTTAGGCCATCTGACACATTCTTCATCTTATGGAGACAAAAATATAAGCAAGAGAAAACAAGTGATTTAACCCTCTAAGACTCATCTCATTGAGTGTTAGACTTATTAGAAAATATTTGCAAAGTGAAGTTGTTTAGGCAAATATTTTCTGGTCCTGAAAAAAATCCCACTTCTTATTTAAACTAACTTCTTATTTAAACTAATTTATTTAAACTAAACTAATTTCCCAACATCTTAGAGCCTCAACAAAATTAGCATTTTGATTTGAATTTCTATGTGAAGAGTGGGTAATTTTTTGGTATATGGACAAAGTCTGTCAAGGTCTTTCATTTGTTTCCTATAGCAGTACCTTTTAAGACCATTCTTAAAAATGGATAGCATCCCTGAAAGTTTCTACAAGTCAGAAATTTTCTGATCAAAAACACTTCACTGAGATGTTAAGGTATGCCAGAATGCAGTCAGTCTGGATTGAAACTAATTTACACATCCCATTTGCTGAAAGGATGACTAGGTTCCTAAGGGCTGGAGAGGACCTAAGTCGATATCTAAGCTACCTGCAATGTCCAAAAAAGAAAGATGCCCACCACACTGGGCATCATGGTCAACTGTAAGTTATCTCTCTATGACAATTCTCATATTGGATAAGAATGGGTCAAGTTTAGCTATTCAAAAACTCTAGTCATTGGTTCTAAATTAGTATTTCCAAAGTTAAGTATAATTATTCAAGTAAAATTTCCTGAGTTACAACCCTACATGTATTTGTTAGAAGCCCAAATAATTAAAATAATGAAACAGTAGAAAATTCCATAGGATTGGTTAAGAATGAATTTCACTACAGCACCTTCACCACAATTGTCAGATGTTAATGCCAATAGTTGTAATTGTTCCATGATTGTGTTCTTAACTTACATGCAGAGCATGCAGGCCCTTTGTGTGAGTCCATGCATGCACACCAAATGTTCCAGTCCAATGTCGAAGCCTATGTGTATAAAGCTTACCAGAAATGACCCCAGCAGTCAGCGTGGCAGCAACAGGTGACTGCCTCTTATTCACTCTGGCAAGAAATCTAAACAGTAAGCCATCCCGAGCCATGGCAAACAGAATTCGGGGTAAAGGAAACATAGAGCCCAGAAGACTAGAACAGAAAAATTCATAATCCACATGTGAGTTATTTTAAATAGTACCCTAGAAAGCTATATATACAGGTAAAGACTGAACACATGCAGAACCAAAATGTTCACAACAGGATACAGTCACAAAGAAGTTATCACACTTAATGTACATCACAATAGACAACCCTAACTTGTTATTTTTTTTTCCAGAGTCCTTTTTGGAAAAAAAATCCCCCTTTTCTTAATAAAAGTCAACTCTCTCTCACCTGCCACTGCACCGGATGATAAAGTAGCAATTATTGGTGTCTTCGTTTTGGAATTGATTTGAGCTAGACATTTGAAAAGCAACCCATCCTCCGCCATAGCATAGATTACCCGAGGCATTGGGAAAATGGATCCAAGAAGACTGAATAAAAAGCAAAGACATGCAGTATGGCAAACACATTCATGCAAGATTACACCCCGAATCAAAATAAGTAATTATGTAAAACTCAACACAGTAGCTGTGATTGTGAAGTCACATCATTTAAAAAATGCACTATGAATGGACATTTAAAATGCCTGCTAATACGATTACTCATTCTGTTGCAGGTATTTGCCCAACTAAATTGTCAATACTGCACACCATTTGTATGTACCTATGATTATCACTGAATTAAAACACAGTAATTAAATTTTGTAAAAAGACAAACCAATATCATTAAGATATTTTAGTGGCAATAATTCAATAGATTAAATTCATAAATTAATATGTAATTAGCAAAGAAAGGAAGCAATTTTATCAGTCATTTCTTTTTTTAATAATAATGTATTTTTAGATTGCCATTATCTTGTTACATAGAATGATTAAATTATTTGATTAAATTATTAATTCCCAGCATCATAAGATGTAGTAAGAGGTTAAAAAAATGAACTTACTGTAAATTTAGAATGGGGAAGTAGCCATAATGAAAATTAGTAATAGTAATGTTTAACTAAATGATTTTTGCTTGAAATGTTTTTAATTACTGTGTTCACTAACTCTCTCATTTCATATATGACTATGTTGTGAGAAATAACTAAGAGAAAATAAATGACATATTTTAAGGTCCAGTTTCTTTAGCTAATAAAGCTGAACTGAAGTTGGCCAAAAGCAAATTTTTACCCACCCCTTCTTAAATCAACGTGGCAGTGTCCTTACAGTTGAAACTTTTCAAACTACACATAGTTCTTTAAAATAATCCCAATGACCAGTAGATGCTTAAGAAACATACATGGGTGACTGCTAATAGCCACTTAATAATATTTTGACTAGAAAATAAATCTAGGTGGATTTCTCAAATTTCAGACAAAAAATTCAAGTAAAAAAATTAGTGATCAGGGATAGTCTCTTTGTGAGTCTATTCTACCATGTAGTAGGGTTCAAAACTAGAATAAAATGTCTTACTTATAATTATGCGTTAATTGGGAATATGAGTAGTTCACATTTCTGAGCTATAGTCTCAATGTATTAAACAAACAGCTACTGGAGATCTGAACACTTTTCATATCAACATGATATAATTTCTACTTCTAAGGTGAAAATAATACTTTCTATTCTACAATGTTCATTCTCATTGGTGCTGAGAACAAAGTCTCAATGGTTCACAATAAAGAGAACCTTTATATTTAAAAAATGGCACAGCATACAGCTGTCATCTGCACAGAATCAGTATTAAAGAACAGAAAATGTGAAGTCTGTACACAATATGGAAAGCATGTCTCAGACTGTCTGAAGCAATTTAAGTAACCCCAAACCATCTGAGAATCATACTAGCACAAGATCCCAAAGTGTTATAATGCATACATGATTGAATAAATGTGGTATAGATGTTTGTGCATCATTGTTACACATATTTCCACTAAAGCTTGGACCATCATTATCTTGAAAAATCTGAGGCTTAACTGATGGGGGAAATTTTTTTTATCACTTCAGATTTTTACAGCAATTCTGGGCAAACAATTCAGTGAGAATACAGCTGCATAATATGTTCCTCATGTTAAGATATTTTTAGAATACAAGTAATATTGTGGAAGATGTTGGAGATCAAACCTTGCACATGCTAGACAAGCAGTCTACCACTGAGCTACACCCACAGCCCACAAAAGCAATTTTTTTTCAGACATTGATACACTTTGCAGAAACCCAAACAGCTCCTGCTCAAAGACAATGTGATGTACCTTGTTGACAATGCACACAGGGAGCCTGCAGCAACCACATACTTGGCAGGACCCCATCCAACGTACTCAAATGCCACAGGAAGGGGACTTTTCTCATTGAGGAGGTAGTATGGCATCATAAGTGTCAAAGCTGCAGAGACCCCAAAATAGGCCATAAAGCAAACAAGTAAAGAAGTCACTATTCCAATAGGAATAGCCTTCTGGGGATTCCGAACTTCTTCACCTGAAGAAACATAAACAAAAGATTTGCATGTTTAATAAATCGTTACTAGCTAAAGAATTTAATGTGAATCACAAGCTTCCTCTCCTCCAAGGTCATTCTACTTGGCTTTGGTCCCTTCTGTTTCCTTAGCTTGATCTATTTATTTTACATGAAATTTCTCTTCTCTCTTTGAAGTTACTTTTCCATTAACATATGTATCCAATTCCCAGTGGGAAGTATTCCAGTAAGTCAGCTTCCCATTTCCAGAGGGAAAAAAACCAACACTCAAGTGTTTGGAGAGAGGACGGCAGAGTCAGTGACTGCTGAGGCACTCTGTAGGCCCTCAGACACCCAAGCTTCAGAGCAACTTATTTTGTCTATTTATGTGAAACTCTAGATTTGGGAAGAAACACAATTCTTTGTCTCCTAATAAGACTGATGTTTAAAGAACTCCAAACATGGCCAATAGTAAGGCCATTCAATGATAAGAACTCAGGGAGACTGGCAATAGTTCTTTGTTGTTCTAGATAAACAGAAAAGAACTAGACACTGTCTGAATAAAGATATTCTAAAAAGAAAAGCATCTGGAAGTGACAGTCCTTCCAGACAGCTTAGGATAGCAATTATGACCTCAATCAAAATACATATCATGTATGTTTGTTATCATAGGGAATCTTGGTAATCCCTGAGCAGTAGGTACTGCTCTCCTGGTTTTGCCAATATGGAAACGAAGGCTCAGATAGCCAACATATTTTTTTAAATCAATATAGCTGGTATAACAAGAGAATCTGGAACTGCCATCTTTTTTATTCCAGTTTCTGCCCTGTGTCCCTGACCCTTTGCTGTCTGTCAATTCTGTGTTCCTGTGACAAAAAGGAATACTCCTTTCTTGTACTTAATGCTGAGGTACTGCTCTTACCGGTTGTTGCAATGCAGTCAAACCCCACAAAAGCATAAAAGCACGTTGCAGCACCAGCCAATGTTCCTGCAAAGCCATAAGGCATAAAGCCACCAGCTCCATAGACACTTGTCCCGTTTTCAGAAGGTGGCTCCCTGAGGAAGAAAGGGAACACACTGAAAGACATTTTCTTAGAAACCTACTCCTTTTAGAGATTTGTCTCTGTACATCCTTGCAAGACTATGGTGTTCATCAGCTTTTACAGGATGATCTATATCTATATCTATATATCTATGTCTATATAACTGAAACTATTCTCTCACTCTGTCTTAGAGAATGTGCTAGGTAGAGTCCTTCAAATGACCCTCTGTGTTACCAACATCTACACAGAAGTTGACCCAGAACCACTTTGTGTGGAATTCACATGCAGGCAGGGTTTTAAGAATACAGTTCCCGGGGGCTGGGAAGGTGGCTCAATGGTGGAGCGCTTGCCTTGCATGTCTGAGGCCCTGGGTTTGATTCCTCAGCACCACATAAGCAAAAAGAAAAAAGCTGGAAGTGGAGCCATGGCTCAAGTGGTAGAGTGCTAGCCTTGAGCTGAAGAGCTGAGGGACAGTGCCCAGGCCCAGAGTTCAGGCCCCACGACTGGACCCTCCCCCCCCAAAAAAAAAAGAATACAGTTCTCGGGCTGGGAAGGTGGCTCAGTGGTAGAGCGCTTGCCTTGCATGCCTGAGGCCCTGGGTTCGATTCCTCAGTACCACATAAGCAAAAAGAAAAAAGCTGGAAGTGGGGCCATGGCTCAAGTGATAGAGCGCTACCCTTGAGCTGAAGAGCTGAGGGACAGTTCCCAGGCCCGAGTTCAGGCCCCACGACTGGACCCCCCCCCCAAAAAAAAGAAAAGAATACAGTTTCCACGTATAGACCATGCTCTGTGATAAGGTAAGAATTCCTAAAAGAATTTATTTTTGTAGCTCAAGTGGTAGAGTGTTGGCTTAACAAGTATAAGGCACTGAGTTCAACCCTCAGACCTATCAAAAAAAGTCTTCTGGGCACCAGTGGCTCCTGCCTGTAATACTAGCTACTCAGGAGGCTGAGCCAGCCCGGGCAGGAAAGTCCATGAAACTCTTATCACCAATTAACTATCCCAAAAATGCTGGAAGCAGAACTGTGGCTCAAATGGTAGAATGCTACCCTTGAGCAAAAAAAGCTCAGGGATAGTGCCCAGGCACTAAGTTCAAGCCCCAAGGTTGGCATACACACATACACAAATCCAGTTTTCAACCTATAAACTAGAAAATAAGGCAGACAGAGTGCACATCTTTAAAGTTCACTATGAACACAGCTAAAAAGAAAAACAAAAATTTCTATACTTGATTAATATTGGTAAAGTTGAATATTTTATTTCAAGTATAAAAACTAGAAAATTAGAAAAAAAAAAAAGAATGAGAGAGTCTTGAGAAAGGCCAGAAAAGTGCATCCTGGGTGAAATAGACCAAAAAAAGCCCCCTCCCCCCAAAAAAACCCTTAAAACCAAACCAAACCAAAAAAATATAATCAGAACACCATTTTTCTTCATTAGAATGATTATAAACAACACAAATAAAAGAAAACATGTGCCATATTCTGTGCAACAGCTATTTTTGTATTCTCTCTGTTTTTGTAAATAATAGCATTCTTCAAAACATAAGGCCTGAAAGATGACTAAAAGACTGAAAGCACGCAATACAATTAGATAGTGATACTAAAAGTGATAAAGGAGGCACAATTCAGTGCCAGTCCTTGTTAATTAGAAGTGGCCAACTATTAGGGAGAAAAGATAACGCTCCCGCAGTGGTTAAGCTTGCCCCTGCCGTCCCCAAAACTAGAGCAGAGGCTGAGTTTGGGAGCCAACAGCCGCACAGCTTCTCACAGAGGCTCAACAGGGAGCACACCTTCAGAGGAGGCTTAGCATAGAAAGCCCTTCAAAGGTCTTAGGTTGAGAACCATTGCTCAAGAGAAAACTTTCAAGTCTAAAGTATACTCTTAAACATTTTTTAAAAAGAGAGGATGAAAAAAAAGCCCAAATATTTTACCTGGCACTGGCAGATAGATTTTTGAGGAACTCTTCACTAATCTTCCAGTTAGCCACATTTCCCTTCACAAACCCAGCAATCATTACAAAGAGAAGGACCAGGATATTAATAGCTGTGAAGAATTTGTTCACCCAAGCAGACTCTTTTACTCCAAAGGATAAAAGGCCTATAGCAAAACAAGGCATTTAAAAATTTCATCTATAGAGAAGGCAAAGGTATACAGAGAAAAATTAGACTTCTTGTACTTAACTTCCACATATCTATTTATATTGCTGATTATTACTATCATTATTATTATTAGTTATTATTATAGATAGTTATTAGTTACCTAATTGTAATATAATGTCTTGTAAAGACACCAATTTGATTTCTAGAGGCAGACTATACTTGGTCAGGAGATTCTACCATTCATAAGAAGTATCTTAAGTCTAGTAAATGGCTATTATTACCATTACTAGGTAGATATAAAGCAATGTTTAATTTCAATCAAATACTGTTCTAGGGCTGGGAAGGTGGCTCAGTGGTAGAGTGCTTGCCTTGCATGCATGAGGCCCTGGGTTCGATTCCTCAGCACCACATAAGCAAAAAATAAAAAAACCAGAAGTGGCACTGTAGCTCAAGTGGTAGAGCACTAGCCTTGAGCTGAAGAGCTGAGGGACAACGCCCAGGCCCAGAGTTCAGGACCCACGACTGGACCAAAAAAAAAAAATATTGTTTTAAAAAGTTAGCTCACAGCTAATATGAAGTTCAATCATGTGTATCCTGTGTGTCTACTGAACATATAAGGAGAAAATAATATAATTCTTGAGGGTCATATAAAAACAGTTCTTTGTTAAATCTAGAATCATTTCAATAGCTTTTTTTATGTTCCAATTATAAAAATCTCCTATTCAAGTAATCTGAAGACACCAAAAAAGTATGAAGAGTCAGGGTCAACCTGCATGTGCAAACACATGCACATATTTCCATGTTGACAAATATAAAATATATAACTTCATTTCTGAACAACTGAATAAATAATACTATATATAGGAGATACTTTAATCCACTGTTGGTTTTTATAAATAGCATGACATCATCCTTTTTTTTAAACTTATGAAGACATGATAGGACTTTTTAAATTAGTTGTCCAGGGTAACAAGTACAGAAACATCATCATCCTTTTATAAACATCTTTCTACACTTTCTAATCCTTCCTTCCTTCCCTCCCTACTCCCTCCCTCCCTCCCTCTCTCCCTCTCTCTCTCTGCACCACTTCTGTTTTTTCTGGTGGTTAGTTGGAGATAAGAGTCTCCCGAACTTTCCTGCTGGGGCTGGCTTTGAACCATGATCCTCAGATCTCAGCCTCCTGAGTAGCTAGGATTACAGTCGTTAACCAACAGCGCCTGGCTCTAATTGTATCTTTACAATAATTTTCTCCAAGTTAATATGCAGGGCTCTGGGTCACCTTGTCAATATAGTCTATAAGTAGTTTGATCTAATTTACATTTTATTAAATTTAAAATTGAGTTAGTTTTTTCTTCTAGGATATTCGTGTTCATAGTGATTTATTTATATATCAATGTGGCAAGAGTTCTGGTCTAGTTATAAGTTGGTAACTATATTAGTGACTCAAAGGAAAGCTATAGGATCAGCACAATTACTGACTCTGCAATTGTTGGTTAAAGGCCTCTGCTACTTACATCCTTGGGAACATAATACAACTATTGACATTTTTTTTCATTCTCTTGGTTCTTTCTTAATTAAGTATCTAATCTGAAGACTATATATGCTTCTCTTTTCCTTTAATAAAACAATAGTTTCAGTTGACAGACAGTGCTACAATATGAATATAATAGAAGATTTTGGTTTTCAAAGAATCTAAAACAAAGTTATAAACTCACACTCTATTTAAAGGAAAGGTATGAAGGTGAACGAGAGGACAAATGATACAGGTTATGGCCTGAGACTTAGGTTTGCTATGGCATGTAAGAGTTCTAAACCAGGCATCAGTGGCTCACTCCTGTAATCCTAACTACTCAGGATGCTAAGATCTGAGGACTGTGGTTCAAAGCTAGCCCAAGCAGGAAAGTTTGTGAGACTCTTATACTCTAATTAACCACCAGAGAAACAGAAGTAGCACTGTGGCTCAAGTCATAGAGTGCTCACTTTGAGCTGAAGGACAGCGCCCAGGCCCAGAGTTCAAGCCCGATGACTTACCCCGACCCCACACACAAAAAAACCAAACTAAAAACAGTTCTAAACATGTGTCATAGCTACATACTTTTCACCATTGAGAACTTACAGCTTAATATTTTAAGTTTGTTGAAGACACTCTTAATAAAATATAACATGATATATAGAAATAGCTATGCTCTTTAGAAATCAACCAAATCAAAATGTATCATTTAATGAAAAACAATGGATGCATTTTTTTCTTGATAATAAAAGGAAAACATTTGGACCAAGTTTGTTCATATTCCTGTCCCTATCCCTATATTTTAGTCAATTTTTTAAAAAGTAAGGCTATTTTAAAAACTATATTATTTTTCAGGTAAAGACTTCCTTCACATCCTTTTAATCAAAAGAGAAAAATATTAAAGACAAGGCTGTATACAGCAAAGCAAGGGTGCCTGGGCACCAGTGGCTCATACTTATAATCCTAGCTACTCAGGAGGTGAGACGTGAGGATTGAAGACAACCTGGGCCTACAAATCCTCATGACCCTATCTCTAATCCACAGAATGCCAGAAATGGCAGCGTGGCTCACATATAGCACTATCTGAGTGAAAAAGCTGAAAAGAGCTCCAGGCACTGAGTTCAAGCCCTGGTACACAAAATAAATAAATGAATAAAAATAAATAAAATCAAGTAGAAAGTAGGAACAAATTTTATTCTTAGTGCAGGTTTTATTCTTAGTTTAGTACTTAAGGGTGACTGCAGATGACAATCAGAATGGAAAATGTTCAACTAAAACAAGGATCAACTATGCTTATAAAATAAAACTATCATCTGAGTGCTTACTATGTACCAAGTGAGAAGCTTGTAGGCTGCTTATTATATGACTAAGCAAACTGAGTAATGAAAAGATTAAGTAAATCAAATTATAAAACTAGAGAGTGCTACAAAGACATGATTGCAAACCTGGTTGCCCCTACACTAATTCTTGTGTCTTTCTGAACAACTATGCTACTACACTGAGGAAAAATGAGAAATTACTACACCAGATATAGTTGTCTACAATATGTCTAAATTAGAAAATGAGGACTCAGTAGTAACCTATTTTTGGGATATTGTTAGTTGGCCTCATTATACAGAATCCCACTTAAGTGGTTTTCTTACCTGCTAAAAGTAATATAAGGCACACAGCAAAAAAGTCTGGATACTCTGCAAGGCCAGTATAATTCATTTTGAAGTATGTCCTGAAAAACTGACCAATCTGTTTGTTAAGAAGCTCATCAAAAGTGCCACTCCATGCTCTTGCAACACTTGACGTACCTTTCCAAAACAGAATGTTCAGAGAATATAAGGTCACTGGCATAAAATGAATATACTATCATTTGCTACCCTATCTAGGATAAACATTGGTTTGTTTACATAGATTGAAAATTTTAATCACATATAACTCAAATTATAAACATAAGATTAAATTGCATTTTGTAATTTTATCTAGCTACAACAGTAATTTGTTACAATAGGTAATAATTAAATATTATAACTAGTATTTTTATTGAGTGGGGGTCTTGCCCCAGGTTGGACTTGAACTCACAATCTTCCTATATATGGGGATTACAAGCATGCACCATCATGTCAGGCCTACAATAGCAATTAAATGTCAAGTTTATAACTTTGTAAGCTGGCTACTGTATTTATAATAAAAAAAAACTATAAAATTTGTCACTAAAAATTGCTGGAACATTTTTTCTCTCCAAATTCAGAGATGGATGAGAATCAACCATTTTGAGATGAGATAAGTAAGATATACAGGGATCAAGTGATCCACTGGTGATTATCCAACAGCTAAAGGAACAGCAGACCTACCCTTCAACACAGAGGGCCTCTTAAGGGTGTTATTTCTACCCTTCTACACAATATAGACTTATTTTTTGCAACATACCTATCACATAAGATAAAATGAGATTCCAGCCAGTGATGAAGGCCCACAGCTCGCCAACAGTAACATACGTGTACAAATACGCAGACCCTGTCTTAGGAACTCGGGCACCAAATTCAGCGTAGCAAAGGCCTGCCATCACAGATGCCAGGGCGGCGATGAGGAAGGACACCACGATACTGGGACCAGAATCTGCTTTGGCGACTTCCCCAGCAAGAACATAAACCCCAGCACCCAGAGTGCTCCCGACCCCTAGGGCAATGAGATCCATAGTGGTTAAGCAGCGGCATAGCTTGGAATCTTCTAGACTGTCCAAAGTGACAATTTTTCTCCGGATCAGACATCGGGCAAAAGTCAACATTGCCCTGCAAGGAATCATTCTGAAGAGAGAACCTGAGAAAAGGAAGAAAGAGATTAGCTCATCTGAATCATTTTCCCTCCACTGAACAAGATTAAGGAGGCGTGGCATAGGGCAATCAGGAAGGTTTAACAGGACCAGACCCAGCTGCAAATGTCCTATAGCTTATTCCCTCATACAACCAAGTCAAGGATTCTAACTAATGGCTTTTGAGGGGTGGGAGAGCAGAGGAATAGCAGCCCTCAGTGATCAAAGGGATGTGCTATTTTTGTTCAGTTTCTACAATGTTTAAAGGTATGTTGATGAAAATGTATCCCAGGAGATGGGAGATTTAGTCCTCATTACAAGGGCATGAATTGTCTCATTTGAAAGTTTTTAGGCCATATCAAATGCCAGGAATTGTGCTAGCCCTATGTGTAGAACTGTCTTACACACATATGGCTTCTAGCTCTATTGACTTCCAGTCTAGCTTTGTCTAAAACAGGTAAAAAGTTGATTGTTATGTATTGTACAGCTTTACTAAGTGTGTGTGAACTAGTCTGCTTTTATGTGCAACAAATAACATGGAGGGAGGGAAGGGAAATAACAAAATGCTGAAACAAGAAAAAAGAAATTAACATGGAGGGCTGGGAAGGTGGCTCAGTGGTAAAGTGCTTGCCTTGCATGCTTGAGGCCCTGGGTTCGATTCCTCAGCACCACATAAGCAGAAAAAAAAATGCCTGAAGTGGCGCTGTGGCTCAAGTGGTAGAGTGCAAGCCTTGAGCTGAAGAGCTAAGGGACAGCGCCCAGGCCCAGAGTTCAGGCCCCACAACTGGATCCAAAAAAAAAAAAAAAAAAGAAATTATCATGGAGCAGATGTGGGCTTAGTTTAATGAACAAATCCTTTCCAAAGCATATTTGGCTCAGTGTTACTAAAACAAATATTCAATTGTCCTTTAACTACAAGTTGGCACTAAAATATACATGCTTATTATATTTAAGATTTTTAATAAGTCCATGGCAAGTATCAATCACTATATATATATATATATATATTTTTTTTTTTAATATATATTTGTATGTCTGAGGATCAGGGGCTTGAATTCTAATCTTTGGCTAGGTCCTACTACTTGAGTCACAGTTTCATTCTGTCTGATTAACTACAGATAAGAGTCTCACAGATTTCCTGCCAGAGCTAGTTTTAAACCATGATCCACCTTCTGAGTAGCTAGGATTATATGCCTGACCCACTGGTGCCCAGTTGAGTCTTCTAAATGGAGAGAGTAAATACGTCAAAGAGTCCCATACTCCATTCCTTACAGACCCAAACAACCTAGCTGATTTGCTATATATAACAATATGTATCATGTAATTTTATTTTATATTATTTTATAGTATATTTTATAGCCTATACCCAATATAAGCTGAAAAACATTTTATAGCAGCAAAAGTGTAAAGAAAACTATATCAAAATATTATTACAGTCATATCTGCATAGAGGCTAATTTTTATTTCTATACCATAAAACATATGGTTAATTCTGATTTCTAATTAAATTTCAAGGAATATGTAGGAACTATGTACAAAAGAAATATAAAAACTGAAAGCCTGCCAGGTACCAGAGGCTCACGACTGTAATTCTAGCTACTCAGGAGGCTGAGATCTGAGGATTGTGGTTCAAAGCCAGCCCAGGCAGGAATGTCCATGAGACACTGATCGCCAATTAACCACCAGAAAACCGGAAGTGGTGCTGTGGCTCAAATGGCAGAGTGTTTGCCTTAAGCTGAAGTGCTCAGGGACAGCGCCCAGGCCCAGAGTTCAGGCCTCACAATCAATAAGAACAACAAGGCCTCACAATAAGAACAACAACCAAAATACCTGAAAGCCCTATGTGGCCTACTCTACGAAGACATGTAATTCAGTGCATTAGAAGTAACTGAGGAATGAAGAAGTCAAACCATATTGGCTTTTCTTTTACATATTGCATGGCAAACTTGGCATTACATACTGTTTCTCACAGTTTTATTATATTCATTAGGGATAACTAGAACTTAGACCTTTACATACTTTAAACCCTTAACTGTTTTTGTCAACATTTATCTAAATGTTCTAAATATTGATTTTATTTAAAAATAAGATTATCTTCCTACATTATCTAAGCGACTTCAGCTATACAAGAGAAGAAATTCTGGAACATGAACAAACCAGTTTCATATTGCATTGAATAGATTAAGTCACTGAAGGTTATTCACACATCAATTTGAATACAAGTTCCCAAAATGACAGCAGCTAATTCAAGGAACATAAAGAAAAATTCTTAAGAAAAGTGAAACTCATGGTAAGCTTCTTAGAAGTAAAATTAAATATTTACACACATTAGTTTCTTCCATACCAGCTGACACATTGCCAAAATGTGGCACTTCACAAATGCTTGTTGAAAATTTTGCAAATATAAATGATACCACCAATTGTTGCCAATACTGTATTCAGGTCTCCAAAGTCAAAACCTACCAATGGATACTTCTAAAAATTCAAATGTGGATTAATGCCTGGTACTCGCTAACCCTTAAGCAGCTGTTCCTCATAACAAATTTAGAAGATAAGGAAGGGAACTGTTTTGCTTAAAAAGAATCAAGAATAGAAAGACTAAGTTAAAGCCCAACAAAATACTCACCAAGAAATGGGTACTTGCAAGGGGTAGGGATAAGGCCAAGGGAAGGGAAGGGAGGTAGACAATGAAGGGGAGAAAGGGAGGACAATGCAGTCAAAAATTCATTATAACTGGGTGTGGTGGCTCATACCTGTAATCCTAGATACTTAGGAAGCTGAGATCTGAGGGTCCAGGTTCAAAGCCAGCCCAGTCAGGAAAGGCCGTGAGATTCTTATCTCCAATAAACCACTCAGAAAACCGGAAGTGGTGCTGTGGCTCAAGTGGTAGAGTGGTAGAGTTGAAGAGTTCAGGGACAGTGTTCAAGGCCCAGGCCCAGAGTTCAAGTCCCACGACCGACCTAAAAAAAAAAAAGAATTCATTATATATACTACAAAATTAAGAAGTGGGAGGGAAGGTGTGGGCCAAAGGGGATGTATTGCTTGGTTAAAAGACACCTCTGTTGTATGACTACTTAAAGGAAATTTAAAAAAAATCAAGAAATTGTTAGGTGCCAGTGGCTCATGTCTGTAATCATAGCCATATAAGAAGCTCATATATGAGGACTGCTTGAGCCACAGCACCACTTCCCATTTTCTGGTGGTTAATTGGAGATAAGAGTCTCATGGACTTTCCTGCCCGGGTTGGCTTTGAACTATGATCCTCAGATCTCAGCCTCTTGAGTAGCTGGGACCAGGCAGTTAGAAGATTTTGTTGACGTTTATAGTATTGGGGATTAAACTCTGGGCCTCATGCTTGCAAGACAGGTGCCCTGCCACTGGAGCCACACATCCAGCCAAGGAAAATACTTTAGGTAAAGGTCAAAGGAGGAGGAAAGGAAAGATAGCAGAGTATACTTATTAAATGTCAAGCCTTCCTATCATTTAAATGTTTATACAAACAGCTGTTTTCCCAAAGATCAAGAATTAGGGGACATTGCCAACTAGAATGTGCTAAAAAATGACACTCCAAATTTTATCAGTAACTTGAGATTAGGACATGCATTTCCAACTTTAGGAATATAATTGACAGGCAACAGGCAGGCTTGTTTGTCTTTTAACTAAAAGAAACATGTGTGGTAGAATGATGAGTTAATCTTGTCTTATGAGTAAGATGCAAATTCTACAACTATGCACATTTATGAGACAGAATCTGGAAGAAGGAAACCCAAGAAGAGACTTTTGGGGTTCAGGAGTCGGTGATAGCATTAAAACATTTTGTGAACTTTAGTATTATAATCATGATGCAAGCTGTGAACTTTTTAAAGAAAAAAATACCATAAAACAAAACAGAATACTTGAGCCAATTAAATTATCCCAAATGAACAGATTGACAGTCATCTTTTCAATGTAAAATTGAACTTCATTCACTCCAGATTACAAAAGTAGAACTACCAATAGAAATACGTAGCTTCCATCAAGTAAGATTGGATTTTCCACTGCTTCTTTCCTATTAAAGTTGGATAGTAGTTTGTGTGTTGATAGTTTTTCTATGCTGCTCTGGGGAAATAAGACAAAGATGTCATTTATCAAACATTCATTTGCTTTTGAGTAACTAAAAAGCATGTGTCAGGAACTTCTCAGAACTGACAGGTTACTCAACAGCTTCTGCCAACAATCGCTATTATTTCATAGCCAGGTAAAATACTGATTACAAAAGCTGTGATACATAAGTAATTTTGTAAAAATAAAGTGGGCTGAGAGTAAAGGAACATAAAAATATACTGGGTCAGCTAAATGACTCATTATTAAACAAACATCTGTTGAGACCCAGCAGTGTGTAATAGATAATGAAAAATAGTTTTGGCTTTTTGTAAAATATTTGTGAGGAGACACACTGATGTATGAAAGTAGCAAGGAAACAAATGAGAAAAATGATATTTGTGTCTGATGTTAACAATAGGCAGTGGGGATTGAACCCAGGGCCTAACATATGATAGGAAAGCACTCTACCACGAGGGGGTTATACTCTTAGCCCTATCATATTTTGATTTTGAGATAAGGGCTGGTTAACTGTTGTTTAACTCTAGCTAGGCTGGCCTTGGACTCTCTTTTGGCTCCACCTCTCAAGTAGCTGGGTTACTAAAGACATGCACTTCTACCACAGCTTAACCTTTATGACATCTTGCCAAAAAGCTAAGTTCCTTTCTCAGCAACATGAAGTTACTGCCTTCTAAAATGTCAATCGAGGTTGTCAGACATAGAGTGAAGTATTTCAAGTCTGGGGAGAACATGTACATACGCCTGTTTTTAAACTGATGGGGAAAAAAGCCACTACATTACAGAGACCTCTGGCACTTTGCTTTATTCTCTGAATTAGGTATTTTTTGTTACCCCCCCCCCAATATATAGCAATTATGTTTCTACAGTTTTAAAATTCCAAGACAAATTTTCAAATTATAATACA